AATAATTGTTTCCTTTCATTTCAAACCAAACAGATTCAGTTTTTCTTTTATATTTTGTTTTAATACTGTGATACCTTGGTAGTTTTGTCTGGTTATTGTATGATAAGAATCTCGTACTGGGAAATGCCTCCTTTCCCTTGTCATGGAAATTATTAGAGCATAAAATATTAGAGTATAAAATTTGTATTTGCTATTTTTTAGAATGAAAGAGGTCTGGAAAATAAAGATTGTTAGAAAACATTCCCTTTCCCCCCCAGATCTTGTTTGTGTTGTACAGAGTTTGAACCTTTCACACCTTTCCTTTGGCGAGAGAACAGTTCAACTCAGAGCCACACAGAGACAAACACACGCACACACACACACACACACTCTGTTCTAAGTTTAATTTAAAAACACCAGTCATCCTTGTTTCTCCATTCTGAGAGAAAACTGATGCAGCTTGGAAAACTGGCGCAGCCATAAAGATGGAGCCGGTCTGTGATATAGTAATACCGTTATATACTCGGGTATCAAATCGAGTGCTTTGCTTTGAACCACTTTATTAAAAACTCTGCTTAATGCGATTTGTGCCGGAATAAACTGAAACTCTGCATGTACGTCAATATGACTGTTATATCAACATAAATTCAGTTTGTATTTACTGTTAGCGTAGGGGTTAGGTTTATGCGTTTGCGCCTGACAAAATATTTTGACAGATGTCAAGTTGGAGAAGACTCCAAAAGCGGAAGAGGCTGAGAGCAGTGTTTGCAAAATGAGAGTTCAGTTTTATTTCCGTAGATAGCGAACATCTTCCACAAATTTTCTCCTGCTGTCATTCCCGCAGCGCAGTGGTAATTTTTATAGTGTGTAGGAGGGAGATTGCTGGGGCCGAGCTGCATTTCTGAGTGTAAACAGCAGGGGCATCATGCATTGAAGGTTTCATAGCTAAAAGTTGGTGTAGCTAGCTCCACATTTTTATCAGTTCAACGCATAAAAACACTCTGATGCATAAAACTGTGCACACACACGTGGCTGTGCACCTTTCCTTTATGTATCTCATTTTGTCTGAAATGTCAGTTGTAGGTGTCGCACCTTTATGAAGTTGCTTATGACTGTATATGATTGCCTACGCCATGTTCACCTTAACAATCGTCAAATCTGACCTGTTTGGAGTTAAGCAGTTACCTTCTTTTCCCAGTATCCACTTCTCTTAAGTATCTAGGACTTACATTTTACTCCTCATTAGGCTTTGGCAAACACATCACAGTGATTTCTCGGTCCTGTTTCCACAACACGAGACATGATCTCCAGAGCCTAAGATTATTCATACTTTGATGCTGTAGTGTTTTGACTATTATTGTGTTGTTTTTGTCAGTCTGGACAGGCCACCAGTTTCATGCCTGCCAGGTGTCCAGAACGCAGCAGCCAGACTTCTCACTAAATTTAGTAAATACACTTAAATCACTCCGGTATTATAGTCTCGACTGTGACTCGCATTACAACAAACAATTACAGTATAATGTCCTGTTTTGATAACAGCGACGTGATGATATACTGTAATAACATCCTAAAATAGGGTTGTTACATTTGTCTCCATTTTTGTATGAAGGAATGTATAATCTAACTTTCATCTATCGAAGGAAGTAAACTTGCAAGTATTCAATTAGGGATTTTAGGAAGTTGTTTTGTTTCCGATCTTGATACTTTTCTAACATAATCACTCAAGGTTTATCTACATATTTATGCATTACGTTTCAGCATTTGGTTGAACTGCATCCAGGAAGCCAAACACAGAATGGATATTAATCCAAACAGATTTTTCTGTTTTTAATGCAGTCTTGTCCCAAAGCAGTTACAATCACATTGTTTTACTGCCAGGTGCTGTAACTGACAGGTCATGTTAAAGGTTAACAGAGAGGCCAGAGTTAGAAATCAGTGACTCAATGTTTTAAATGAGATGTCTGGCCTTCCCCTTAACCTTGATGTATAGCTTAGATCAGACTTTTTTTTTTCTTTTTTTTTTAACTATGTAAAATGTTTTGAAAAGAAAACCGCAACTTGTACAATGACTTTTCTTTTTTCCCCTCTCTGTTGGCTTCATAAGAAAGTATTTTGTGACTCATTGGTTTTGATCAACTACCTCATTAATTCCCTGCAGATCCATTATAGTTAGTTTCTGCCCTGAGAGATGTGAAGTCTTATTCATTGCACCAACATCTTCCAAAGTTATACATTTATGTTCACAAAAGCAAAGTTGAATTCAAGCTGGTATTCACAACGGCACCTCAGAGTGTATTTACTAGTGTTTGGTGCATGTGTTTGTGTGTTAATGGCATGTGTGCATCGATGTTGTGACACCTGTTCCAGCGTGACGCTCATCAGCCATGAGGACGACACGGGGTTTTGACACTCCCTGTCGATATGACATCTCAGACAACATGGATGTTAATCTCTCCTAACTGCTCACGGCCTAATTAAATCTTCCAGAGCAGCACACATGTGCAAATCCATGCACACACATAAAGTACATGTGAGAACTTCTAATTTGGTCCTGGTTGTGTGTAATTTATTTATTTCTGTTCTCTAGAATTAGGCATGCAGTGGTTTGTTTGATTATTAGAGCTAGTGTTTGACAAAAAGATGAGACCATTAAAGTTGTTGCTAAGTTAAATATACAATGTTTGTACACGCACCATTCTTCCGTTTTATATTGGTCATAAACCACTTTTCAGCTGCCATTGGGTCGCTTTTTTTTTTTTTTTTTTTACTGTCTGGCTCTACTTGAAGGATGCCTATAAGAGGGAAAGTAATCAAAAATATTCTCAAATCTAACATGAAAAGTAATCTAAGTTTATATTTTCTAAACTTAAGTTGTTTAGTGTCAGTTGACTCTTAAAGAAAAATGATCTGATCAATCCAAAATAAATCTGATTTACCTCCTCCTAGTACACTCTGGACGATTAAACCACAATGAACAATGAATACCTGATGTATATTACTGTAAATAATGTCAATAACAAAGCAGGTATAAAATGACATGGGCAGTTTTAAATACCTCGCAAACGGCTTGGGCACAAAACAACCAAAATGAAAAAAGGCAAAGAAAAAGTGGCAACATGATCACCAGATGCATCCACGTAGGAACAATGGCCTGCTCCCTTTCTACCATTTGTTTTTCTTAGATCCACAAAGTTTGTGATTGTTTTTACTCTGCTTTTTTTTTTACTTAAATTTATTCAAATAACCACAGAATGACTGCGTATCTGGTGCTTCCTTTCTAAACACTTCACTTGTTTTTTGTCCTTAATGTCCTTCCACAGACCGAGGAACTCCATTTACTTCGAGTTTCTTCCCATAATAACTTTTCTCCCTTATTTATCTCTGTGCATCTGTTTTCTTATCTATTTGTCTGTTTGTGTATTACTTTTTTTTTTTTTTACCTTACCACCTTTTCCCCCGCTTGACTGTTTGCCACCCTCGTTCCGTGTATCATCACGCCCGTGATTCAGTCTTCCTTTTTTTTTTTCCCTCCATCTTTGTCATCTGTCAAGACTTGGCTCCCTCAGAGTTAAACAGGCTAAACAAAAAGATTACAAACAGTGGGTAGAGTGAATCTAAAGAGGAAGACAATTTGAATTTGTTGTGGATGTAGAATGAGAAAAGGGCTGTGCAGTCAAAGAAAGGCAGTGGAGTCAGAGTAAGGCTGTATTTGCCTGAGGGGAAAAGGCTGAAAAGTAGCTCTCTCAACAGATGTGCGGGGCAGTAAAGTGTAATTGAAATGCCAGCAGCAATGGTCTTATCTCCCTGCTACAGGAGCCTGCTGCCAGTCTCAACATCAGTTAGATGTCATTTTACCTAAGTCTGAATCAGCCTGCCACAATCCGCAATCCCCATTCCTCTGATGCTAGGCAGGAGAAAAAGGCAGAAATGGATGAGGGGGAGGAGAAAGAAAGGGAGGGAGAGGCAGGGTGGGGGATTTTGTAATAGGATTTCAGTAGCACCCAGTTAACTTCCACCACCTGGACTTAGTTGGTAATTTGATATGCCCCATCAATAGGATTAATTTACACCACCGCAACATTACCATTGTCATTTCTTTGACTGTTTAAATATATATATATATATATATAAATCGATTCATTTCTCCCCACACATTTCTACTCTTGTCCTGATCCTAATCAAACTGGAGGTGGGAGGAAGGAAGTGAGGGAGATCTGTTCCAGAGTTTTCTAGCTATATACAAAGTCTTTGCACCCGGAGGAGGGTTGCAGCCAGACGGACATCCGCTGTGCTCCAGGCAAGGCTTTTTTTTTTTTTTGGCCAGGCGACATCCCTATGGGGGGAACCATAATGTCCTCCCAGATTAAAGGCTGGCACTCCTGAGCTGCTGCCTTTTATCAGAAACTTTGCTTCCACAACATGGGATCATCTGTGGGACATTAAAGCTGACTTATTTCTAGAATGTAATCCTAACGTGCCATGATTTTTGTGCCAGTGGTTATTTTTGTGGTGGCAGTGACAACTTCCCTACAACTCTGCACCATTTTTGACTCTTTTTTTTTTTCAGGTACCACAAGTTGACATGAGTTGTAGCCAACTGAAAATAAAAAAAATATATACTTCTGAACTATACTGTACTTGTACACAGTTTTCATAATTTTACCAAACTGTAATCTGTGTTATGTTTTAATGTGTTAATGGTTTAGAAAAAATGATAGTTGTACTTCTACAAACTCTCCTGCCTGAGCTGAAAATCTCAGTAGGTCCTTCAGACTTACTGTGCACACCAAGGTTTTCAGATCTCTGTAAAAAACTTCTAATAACATTAATCACTTCCCACGACACAGAAGAATTAATTTGATGAATAGTTCTCATCAAATTAAAGTTTTGAGGCTGTATTTGAGTCAATTTCTGGTCATTTTCCAAACATGTTTTTACTACATTAGCTGAATTGCTTTCCACTTTAATTTGAAAATAATGCATTTTTAAATCATCTGTTAATTTGTGTTTCATTTCAGCGGGTGATTTTCAACATTGTTAACTTCTCAAAGACCAAGAGTCTCTACAGAGAAGGCATGTCCCCTGTAGTCAAGTCAACCAGTCGGCCAAAATGGTAAGTAGAAATGTTCATCTTGCACATCTCATTTTGCATTTTGTAATTTGTATCTGTTTTAGTAATTCACCAACAGAATTTGTGTTTTTATATTACCTTTTCCGACTTTGCGATGTGTCTCTGATCCAGTTTACTCACATGTTCCCTAACAAACAAACAAACACATGCACACACGCGCGCACACACACAAACACACACACCCACACACACACACACACACACACACACACACACACACACACAAATGCTCACCTCACAGACCCGAAACTTTAGCTTTCCAGATTGGATGCATCTGGGTGCATTAGCATGTGATCCTATGGTGTGGCGCCTGATGGCTGTCTGATGTAATAACGCTTGACTGATGGATGCAGAGATGTGTATGCACGCGTGAGAGTGAATGAATAGGTGGGGCAGGAGGGAATGGGCATGGTGCAGTGAGGTTGGGCACGGTGTCTGCCAAGCAGGCTGGTGTATCCAGCGGGGCGGAGAACAGGGGAGCATGATGAAGTGTTGCCATCCACGAGGAGCCCTGACATCTGTCATCGGTTGATGGAGGGCATCGGCAAAAGCGGCAGGCATCTGCCACCCTGAGCTGTGCACGTCTGCTGGCTTCGTGCTCGCACCGACGATGGCATGCCGGGCGCAGGCTAATAGGAAGAGACAATGGGCACGACACCGTAGTCAGGAAAAATGAACTGCTGTCTGCAGTACAGCACAGTGCAGCGTGGTGCATCTTAACCTCCTTGCTCTCTTTGTTTTCATTCCTTGTTTAGTTGCAGCTGTCTGCTGTTTGCTCGTGCGGAGGTATGACTGTTTTCTTAGATTCAACGTGTCTCCTTGTGTCTGCTCACTCCATCAATTTATTCAGAGAATAGTATGCTTGGATTTTGCTTTATCTTTCTGATGAAAGTAGTTGCTCTGATAGTTTGCTACAGAACCAGGAGTATGTCTACGTCATATGACATCTATAATATAATAAAGCTCTATGAATATCTAAAGGCATCTGGGATATTCCATCCTAACCTAGTTTCCTGGAATCTCCTATTTTATCCAGGCAATTTATCGCACTGTTGATGTAAATCATATTTGCTGATGGTGAAAGGACCACTCCTACTACTGCTTCTTTATAGAGGTCTGGTTCAGCTGTTGAGTTTGTGTGGAACAAAGAGAGACTGCAGCCTTAAAATAGTCCCGATTTTTACCAGTAAAACTATAACGCGAGTCTTTTTTTTAGGAATTGCACTGTTTTTCTTCTAACAAATGACTTACATTTCAGGGAAAACTTTAACTGTAGCAAACTGTAAATTTTGCCGAGACACAGTTATGTTTTTTTATGCTTTTGAAGCAGAGCAGAGGTCCAGTCAGGGTCACAACCTGGAGTTCTGCAGCGATAATGTCTGATTGTATTACGTTGGATACAAAACATAGCTGAATTTAAATCAGTTCCAAGTCAGATCAAGTTTTCAAAATGTATTGATTCAAGAATTATTAGTCTATAAACTGTAAATATAACTCTGAGTATAAATTCTACAACATTATGAGTTGGCTGATAAACATGACTTTGACAAGCCGATTAACTTTTTACATATAAAGATGGAAACCAAAATTTCCATCTTTATATGTAAAGCGTCAAAAAAACGACTCATGGTCAGATGTGGAGTGAAGAGGAGGTAAAGGCCCTCATAGATATATGGTCAGAAGAAAATATATCACAGCTACTTGTAATCACTCACAAAAACAAGGTTTTGAAGCTAATTAGTGTGAAAATTCCCTCGTACAGTTGCAAAGACTTTGCCGTCAATACATCAAAATGCGTGACATGCTAAGGACAAGTGGAAGTTCAGGAGACGCAAAGGACAAATTTCCTTGGTATGATGAACTAGGTGCTATTCTTGGCACTCGATCCAGGAGCCGCCTGCAACACGCTGTGGAGTCTGACCAAAAAGAGCCTCCGCTCTATGTCTTCTTCAGAGGTTTTTGTGTCAATTCCTTCAGTAGTTCTTGGTGCAGCGCTATCAAAGGCGACGGGGGGGGGACATGTTTTTCAGTTAGTTTGAGTCGTTTGACACAGCGTAGTGTGAATGCGAACTACAGTCCTGAAAATGGAACAAATGTTGCAATTTTGATCCCCAATCGTACCGAGCCTACCGGACTATCAGGTGTGAAAACACCATCAGTTACTTTAAAATTTCAGTTGTTGATAGTTCTGCTTGTCAGTGCCAATGGCTTCATGTTAATGTTTCGGAGTGAGAAAATAATAGCCACATTTAGTATATTGAGTTTTGCATTTTTCTAGAGGTCATAACAATGTTAAAAATGTTTATAAGTAGTATTTTATGCCAATGTTGGGAATATCCAAGCAGTAATAATTGCATAGAAACCTGAAAACAACAAAACAGCATCAGTTAAGGGTAAATCTACAAAATACTTGTCACCTACCAGAGCCATTTGCTGAGGTAGAGTTCCTCTCTCTTAATCTGAGTTAGTCCTGATTCTTGCAATGGAAATGGAAACTGTTGACGGATGGATATAGACAGCCACCCCGGTTGCTTGAAAAGGATCCTGCAGTGGAAATGTACTTTCACATTGTGACAAAAAGAAAAGCTTTGCCGGGAATGATGCAGACCTCTAATGTGATCCAACAGGTAGCTAGAGTAAGTACTCTAGCTACCTGTTGATCTGAAAGCACCTTAGCATATTATATTGCAATTTAGTTCTTAATCCTTTTAAACCCTAAGATGTTTAAAGATCCATACTTTCTGGGTTCATGTAGTAGAAGCTAACATCGCTGACACTTGACTCCGTCTCCCTCCAAAGGCTAAACTAGTTTTAACCACTCCTCTCACCACCATGCCATCGAAGGGGCAAAAAGTCTCTCGCACTTGTAAAGCTATTTTCAACTGTTTCTCGGCTTCCAAGACTGCAGCTGTCATTGTCTGTGTCCCCAGAAAGTGGTCAAGATGCTTTTAACACAACCTCCTCTATTTGACTTTCCATGAGCACAACAAAGCACAGACAGCTCCTAAACTAGCAATCTTCTTTTTGACAGTTACAGATATGGAATAAATAAAAACGGCAGAGTGGAGAGCTTCACCTGTCTGGTCCAAACTCACACAGCTTAGGTTCGGTGGGGGGGGGGAGGCGAAGAAGAGAGGGAGGGAAGCTGAGACGTCGAGACAGACATGGAGGTTGGAGGAGAAAAACACAAAAAAAACAAGACAGAGATTAGAGACAGGTAGACACCGAGGAGAGAAGTGGCGAGAGTGAGCAGCAAACGATTGCTCCCCACCGCCCACCAGCCTTATGTCTGTTTTTATCAAAAGGATCGTCAGTTTTAGCTAAGGAGATGAAGCCTTTATCTCCCCGTGCAGGTGCCTTATGTCCTGGGGCTCCGGATTCGTTTGGTGCTGGAGGCTGCAGAGCTCGACTGGCCTCGGCAAAGCTGGGCATCTCGGAGAGAGACAACTGCCAGATTACAGTCCAGCAGGACATTCACTGCTACAGGTGGAGGGATCTATCGTTTATCCCTCACTCAATCCCCTTTTTCCTTCAGTCCATCCCTTCATGACTTTTCTAGCCAGGAGACACCGGAAGCCCGTATCATCCCACATTACAGCACAGCTGCAGGCTGAATGTTTGATAAGAAAAAAAAAATAAAAATACAGGCACAGAATGAATTACTTTCTGAACTTTGCAACAAATTAATGATGAAGTTGTCATGAGCAGATAACTAAACTCATCTCGAGGTTTTTTTTAATTTATCTTTTATTCTGCTCTGTGGAAAAGAAAAACTGACAACCGCAATAGAGAAATAGAGATGCGAGCAGAGCTGTTACTTTGCACCAACATTAGTACCATATTCATTATTCATTGTGACTTCTAAAAATACCAATCGGCACTAGAAACTGGGAATTGACTTAACATTCAGAGTGAAAAAGCGTGAGTGTTTGAGTCGGAGAAAAGAGAGAAAACCATATTTTCTTGTACTAGTCTGTCGAACACAACAGCCCCCTCGGTGACAGTAAGTGCCAACCGAGCTCCCCGCGGTCTGCTTGTTGTTAGACTGCTAGAGCAAAGAATTGCTCAGGATCCTTATTTTCCGAGATAAACTAATTAGAAAGTCAGGGAGCGTGGTGTAATGCAGCTGTCGGAGGCCGGAATGCGGTGACTGGGATAATGGCCAGCAAGGTTGCACGAGACTGCATCAGCCATTAAAGAAAAGGGAAACAAGTGTGATAGAATTTGAACAAATGGGCTGCAATAATGGATTGTTTTATTAGTTTGTGTGCAAAAGATTGAACAAACCATTTAAAAATTGATAAGTTTTGCTTTGATGCTTATGCAGGCACCGTACATGGTTAATCAGCTAATAGCATGGCAGTAACTCAATACATGTAAGCATCTAGATGTGGTTGGTGAAAGTGAGCATTAGAATGGGGAAGACAAGGAATTTAAGTGACTCTGCATGATATCCACAAGCGGTCTGGTTGTTGATACCAGACCAGTCAGAGTGTTTCAGAAACTGCTGATATACTGGGAACTTAGTAAGCAACCATTTCAGTTTTGTTTGGCAAAAAGAAAACATCCAATGAGTGATATTTGTGTGCAAGAAAGTACCTTGTCGATGTTGGTGGACAGACTGGGTCAGGATGATAAAATGGTCCACAGTAGCTCAAATCACCAGCCGTTACAAACAAGATATCAATTATTTCATCTCTGAGCGCACAACATGTGGAAACTCAAGCAGATGGGCTTGTGCAGCAGAACACTACACCGGATACCGCTCCTGTCTGCTAAGAACAGGAAATTAAAGCTGCAATTTGTGCAGGCTGATCATATAAGTTGGGTTTCATTTTTTTTTTTTTTTTAGATGTTGCGTGGTCTAACGAGTCCGGTGACTTCAGCTGCAACATTCAGATAGTAGGGTCAGAATTTGATGTAACTTTAAAAGTATGAATTGATCCTTTTCTATAAGAATAGTTTAGTCTGGTATTGGTGTA